ACTTGGGAGGAAACTGCATTAGCCATAAAAGAAAAAATTGACACAGTGTACTTCATTAAAATTAACAATTTATTTTAAACAATAATACAATTAAGAATGTTAGTAAGGGAGGAATTCCAGCAACATGGCGTTCTAGGCAGAAGCACCACGCCGTCCCTCCACAGCAAAGATCCAAAAAACTAAGCCAAACAGAGAAAACAGCAATCCTGAAACCCTAAAACATCAAACGAGGAGATAAAGAACTCAGCCAAGCACCAAACAGAGTGAGAAACTGACAGAGAATGGAGAGCTAGGAGAGATTCATGCAGAAGTTCCCTATCAACTAACGCTGCGTGGATCCACCATCTTGAACTCCTATTGGAGACCAGTGAACAGGGATATGAGAAACCCGCTTCAAAGAGCTTCCAGCAGGAAACAGAAGAACCAGTAAACAGCAATATATGCTTTCCCACCCACCACCCTTCTTCACCCCCATTCGGCCTCCTCTGCTTCCTGCGGCCACGGTTTCTTGGCCGGGAAGCACCAGCGGCATGGATTCCACCCGCCTGCACTGGCTGACTCCTTGAGTGCCATTTGTTGGCTGCTGCTGTTGCTTTTTTCCAATTCTTTTGATTTCTGCCTTACCTCTCACCACTTCCCCCTCCTTTCGCTCAAATACCTGGATCAGGGTACCATCTTTGCTTCTCTTTAGGGGCTGTGGAGCTCTGTTCGAGTGTAGAACTGCTTCCCGGTCTGTGCTGCCATGCTGGTGGGATCCTGGGGCTTTATTGTGTTTGCTTATTTTGAATTGTTTGTTTTCTTTTTCTTTTCGCAAGTTGGGAACCCATTCTGGCTGGGCAGTGCTACACAGCTTTGGACCTACTCCCTCAGCCTGCAGAAATGCACAGAGAGATCGCTGAAGGCATTTCTTTTTCCGTTTTTTTTTTTTTTTTTTCTGTGTTTTGGTGGGCTTTTCTTGTTCTTTGGTTTTTGTTTTCTTTTCCCTCTTTTTCCCTTTTTTTCTTTCTTCATTACTCAGTTTCTCATCTCTCTATACCTTCCTTCTCTTCCTGTGCCCTGAATACCTGGTGCTAAATACCTCTACACAGTCTAGCCAGACTGTACTTCAACATGTGGGAACAACTTCCCCAGATCTAATAGCCACACCAGTGGGATCCCTGGCAGCTTTACTATTCTTTTTTCTTTCTAATTTTTATTCATTCATTCTTTCCTCTTTTTTTCTGTTCTTCTTCCCCTTCTTGTTTTTTTCCATTTCATAGTCTCTCATCTCTTCACTCCAACTGCAAGCTGCCCTAGCACTCTTCTGTGTTTGTTTGTATGTTTTCGGCTCCTGTTCCTCTCTCCTCTCACCCATACCCATTTTAGCTCCACACATCACAATCTCCCCCCTCCATCCTGCCTGCCTGCACTGTGCACTTAACATCACACCAACAAGCAGCACAGGCATGGCTTACGGGAACCAGCCCTACATCGATTACTGACCTGCCCTGGGAGCTGTAGTAAGTACCACAAACAACCCATCCCAGGAACTCCTCTTCATCTAGACCTGCTGTGCTGTACCATATCTGAGCGACTGACCCTGCCAATTGGAGAAGGAGGTGAAAACTATCGTGTCCACAGATGAGTAAACAACAAAGAATACACAGCTTGCCTGCTCAGACATAGCCAAAAAGAAAAAAAAGGACAAAACTAAAAAATCTACAATCAATAAACAAGAAAAATAACTACTGAATTCCCCAAAGACAGCAGACAATATCAAAACATTTACAAAAACAGGACAGGATCGTTCCAGTAGGCATCCAAAATAGAACATCAGATGACTTACCAGTAGGAGAAAAGGCACAAGAACTACTTGATAGGGAATTCAAATCTCTAATACTCAGAATTATCCAAGAGTTGAAGCAAAAAGCAGACAAAAATGAGGAAAAAATAGACAAATTCATGGAAAATACAGACCAAAAAATGGAAGAATTCAGGAAAATAATGCAGGAACATAATGCCGAAATAAATTCACAACTAGAAATTATACAAAAACAATAATTAGAAATCCAAAAGATAAACAACAAGATTTCAGAAATGGACAGGGTCATAGAAGGGCTGAGGAGCAGATTTGAAATGGTGGAAGACAGGATCAGCGGAATTCAAGACAAACACTTGGATACAACTCTGTTTGAGGAAAAATCAGAGAAAAGAACCAAGAAAAATGAAGAGACCCTGAGAGTTATGTGGCACACAATTAAAAGCAAAAATTTACGAGTGATTGGCATTCCAGAAGAAGGGAAGAAAACAGAAAACACAGAGAAGATCATTGAGGAACTGCTGACAGAAAACTTCCCTAATATCATGAAAGATGAAAAGCTGGCCATCCAAGAAGCTAAACGAACCCCATATAGAAGAGACCCCAAGAGAAAATCTTTATATCCAGATGATATAAAGACCTACAATTCAATAAGAATTCAATAAATTAAAGAAACAATTTAAAAAAGGACAAAACACTGAAGTAAGCATTTTACAAAAGTGGATATTTAAATGACTAATAAGAATATGCAAAGAATCACAAAATCATTACTTATAAAGAAATGTGAATTAAAACTACTATGAGAACTACACATCCAAAAGAATGGCACTTTTTCAAATGACAATTGCAGTGTTGATGAAGAAGTGAAGCAATTGCATGTCTGATAAACTTCTGATTGGAGGATTAATTGGTTCAATCCCTTTAGTAAACTATTTGTCCATACATATGAATGTTAAATTTATGCCTATCATATTGCCCAAAAATGTCACTCCTAGGTTTATTTTAAGGCAAAAAAGAAAAATTCATTTATATTCAGAAAATCTCATGTACAAGAATGTTCTTGTCAGCAGTATTCAAAATACCCAATAAATAGAAACTTGAGTTATTTTTATGAACTGTTTCTTTAATTTGTTTCCCAAAAGTTTAATTTGTTTAATTGTTTGTTTCCCCAAAGTTCATTACACAGATGATTCATTAGTGATTTTTAAATCTGGTCACTAAGGATCTTCTTGTTTATTAACTTTGTTGCATATTTGGCAAATAAAATAAAAAAAGATCAGGCTTGACATTGGAGAACACTTCTCTGAGCAAAGATAGCTCAGAACATCAACTCTTCCAAAGAGAGCAGGAGTTCCTTTGAACTAGTTTTTCTTTTCAGTGATGGGGAGTAAAAGAAAATACTTTCTGAGCCTGTGATAGCAGGACATCTATGGTAAGGAATTTTATGCAATTCATTGCATTTTATTAATCACTGCATGTACCCCGTACTTTACAATTGATAGAAGGCTCAAGGGTAGTATGCAGTCCCAGGCTGTTGTGATTTGGGCGGTGACCAGATTCAATGCGTAGGGTCCAGAAATCATCATGCTGTTTTTCAATATAACATTCATTTTTAAATTGTAGCTGTAAATATGGTTTTAATTAAATTACTTATAAACCCATTGCCATCGAGTTGATTCTGACTCATAGGACGAGGCTATGGTTCACTGCTAGAAGGGTGAGTAAGATAAATTCCGTCATTTCAGTTACATTTTCTCTTTTGAGACTTTGGTCATATTTGCCTCTAATAAATAAATCTTTCCCAACTGTATAAAATTTAGAAACGTGAGTTCTAATATGGGTAGTAATGAAAGATCATTTTTAGAGTGCTTGAAACTTGGATAGTGTGTAGTCATTAAGATTATTTTTCAGCAACATTGATTAGTAGGTCAATCAGAAGTAGTATAACTTGGTGATATAAGAAGTACAACTCCCACAAACAAATTTCTGGAAACTAAAAACTGATAAGTATGTGTATCCCAAGTTAGGATTGGGTACTGGACACGGGGATGGAGTGGAAAAGCAGAGTTGGAGGGCAGATAGCTAATTCATGTAAAGTGTTTATTTAAACATCTAGCAAAACAACATTTATCCTTTATAGTAAAGTCTCAATAAATACAGCATACAACTTTTATTATAAAGAATACAGAGAAGAAATAGGATGGGAGTGGTGAAAATCAAGAGTTCTGTTTCTGACTTTACATTTTGGATTTTGGAGCATTTGGCTGTATAAATGAGATTCTGAAGAGCAATCACTGTTTAGAGATCAAGAGTTCAAGAAAATGCCCAGAGGCAGTGAATATGTTAGGAAGTAAAGAAGTGCTAAGAAAGAAAGTTGACAACCATCAACTTAATTGAGGCAAGAAAGAAAATAAATGTCTAGATTTTGTTGTTATTATTGTTAGGTGAGTCAGTTCTGACTCATAGTGACCATATGTACAACAGAATGAAACACTCTCCGGTCCTGCGCCACCCTCACAATTGTTGCTATGTTTGAGCCCGTTGTTGCAGCCACTCTTCGAAGGTCTTCCTATTTTTCACCAGCGCTCTACCACGCATGATGTCCTTCTCCAGAAACGGGTCTTTCCTTATAACATGTCGAAAGTAAGTAAGACTAGAAGCAAAGAGGGGACAGAAAAACAGTACGTGTTATGTTAAGGTAAATTAAGAAAGAATGTTATGAATAGCGCGTGGTAAAAAGTATACATTCAACTTAGACATTTCCTAAATTTATACAGCAAAAGGAAAATCTTTGATAAATTTTGCTATGAATTGTTTCATTATAATGTTGGGGATAGAAAGATGATTACAATATGTTGAATATTGAATATATATGACAGAAAATAAAAATCGTTTTCAGTCAGGTAATTTTATAGGTGCTTTATATAGAAACCATTTAATTTTTTAATGTTTCATAGATGACAAAACAGAGTCACAATGAAAGCAAGCAAGCAGGGCTTGGAGAAAGTGTTTAATATTTTAAATCCAATATTTTTTAGATTTAGTAGTATTAATAATAAGATGTTGGAAGTGTTTTTCAATCTTGACTGAACAGATTGACAGATAAAAACACTTGTGATGATGTCATACATTCACATGCATGTTGGACCCAACATATCTTACTATTCTTTACAATAAATTTTCTTATAAAAAGTTCCTTATCTTCTGCAGCAGAGTGGGAAATCAGTTTAAAAGTTTACATTTTAAAATGAAAATCATGAGGGAGAGTCAGGGGAAGGGGTGAGCAAAGGAAGTTGTTTAAAGAAAACATGATTTTTAAAATTGCACTAATGCTAGATCTCAAAATCTTATGCAATGGATTTGGAAAGGCTCTATAGTGAGCACCAAACTATTTGGGATTTAGTTGCACTTTATCAAGAACAAACTTTAAGGAAACACATGAAAGTGATCAAGAAGCTTTAAGATTCAGCTTTATTATTCAACCTATGACGAGGGAAGAGCACTTGAGCTTACAAAATATTAGCAGTCAGTCCCAAATGTATGGAAAAATCAAATCCAAGGTGTAGATAAAATGAAATGTAAATTGAGAAGGAAGAACCAGAAATATGATGGAGTGTGGTGTAGAGAAAGCTATTTAATTGTTTTTATCTCTCCTGAAATAAGGAAAAATACACAATTGTGGAAACTATACTACTGGCGTATTGATAATATTTGTAATCAATTTTTTAATATATGTGAGATAGTTTACATATTACTTTACACCATTAATTACCACTTTACTCATGTCAAAAATCTTTAATTTTAAGTGCAGATAGATTAGAAGTCAGAAGCCAATGATGAGAAACAACACAATAACATTTATCCTGCTGGGACTGACCAGTGACCCACAGCTGAAGGTTGTGATTTTTATCTTTCTATTTCTCACCTACATGTCGAGTGTTATTGGGAACCTGACAATCATCTTCCTCACCTTCATCAGTTCTCAACTTAAAACTGCCATGTATTTTTTCCTACAAAATTTTTCCTTCTTAGAAATCTCATTTACATCTGCTTGTATTCCCAGATACCTCTACAACATATCAACGGGTGACAGGACAATTACATATGATAATTGTGTCATTCAAATTTTTTTTACTGACCTCTTTGGTGTAACAGAATTTTTTCTCCTGGCCACCATGTCCTATGACCGATATGTAGCCATCTGCAAACCCCTACATTACGTGACCATCATGAACAACAAGGTCTGTAGAAGACTCATCCTGTGTTGCTGGACAGCTGCCTTGTTAATCATACTCCCACCATTAAGCCTGGGCCTAAAACTGGAATTCTGTGACTCTAATGTCATTGACCATTTTGTCTGTGATGCCTCACCTCTCCTAAAGATCTCATGCTCAGAAACATGGCTCATAGAGCAGGTGGTCATAGTTTGTGCTGTGTTGACCTTTATCATGACCCTTATATGTGTTGTTCTGTCCTATGTATACATCATCAAGACCATTCTTCGATTCCCTTCTGCCCAGCAAAGGAAGAAGGCGTTTTCTACCTGCTCTTCCCACATGATTGTGGTTTCCATCACATATGGAAGCTGCATCTTCATCTACGTCAAACCTTCAGGGAAGAATTCAGTGGCCATTAATAAAGGTGTGCTGATGCTCACTACTTCCATCGCCCCCATGCTGAACCCCTTCATTTACACCCTGAGGAACAAGCAAGTAAAACAAGCCTGCCAGGATTTAATCAAAAGAATTGCATTGTTCTTTAAGAAGTAAGAAAATTTGCTACTGTAGAGCAATCAAGTTTTTATTAAAAGATCATTAGTTCCTTAATATGTATGTGTGTGTATATATATATATATAATATACAAATATATAGTATATAAAATACATAGAAATATATATTTTCAATATTTCCATTAAATATATGTATTAAAAATATATATATAAGCTTTCACTTCTTTCCTTTCCTGGAAAGTAATCTGATTCAGGATAACATTTTTCAATAAGAGAATACACTGCTTTTTTAAGAAACAAAATAATGACTTCAACTTAAATAAGCTTTGACAAAACTACAAACAAATCAAAATGAACAGATTCACTGAGTTTATAAATATTTTGGATGCACTGATTGTGCTCATTGCCTTTTCCAATTCTAGATTCTGAAGACTTTTTTCCTTTTTATGCCAGGCACCATTTCAGACACTGGGGATACACTGGAGAACAACACTCACAAATTTCTTGTCCTTTCCTGGCTTATATTTTAAGAAGATAAATGATAAGCACATTAAATAAAATATGAACCCTTCAAACAGCAAATAACAAGAAAATATTGTATTTAAAATTTTAAAAAGGAATATAGTACAAATTATTGTACTTTAAATTAGAAGCTGAATTGTAAACTGTGACAGCCTATAATTTTGATACTTTAAAAATCACAAGACTTACAAATTAATTTGAACAGATAATATGTGAAATAAAAGTTCTACTTAACAGACACATAAGTTTGCAAGGAAAATGATTATATATATCTCTGTTTTTATTTATCTCTATATGTTTATCTATACCTATACACATTAGCTCTTAAGAAATTAAAATGATTAGGGAAATGTAAAAACATCTAAACACTAAAATAAAAATTGAAGGAAAAACATGGAATGTATCTTCATTAGGCATACAAACGACTACAATGCAAAGGAAACATGAAAGACTTAGAAAATCCAGCAAAATACATGGTGATCTGACCAGAAAAAGAAGACGGGGAGAAGAGAAATTACAATTAAAGTAATAATTGATTTTTTTATGAATAAAGAGGGAAAATGAGTGCCAAACTAACTTTCTTCAAAGAAATAACCCTACATAACAACTTGTTAAATTCCTGATAAACTTCCTGCCTCTGCTAAAAACGATCTTACCTCATTTTTTAGCTATAATAAGTAAGCTTCGATTGACATGCATATACAGGTTTTAATGTAAATATAAATTTCCATATCATGGGATAAATATTCAAAAGTGCAATCGCTGGGTTGGATTGTAGGAGCCCTGGTAGCACAATGGTTAAGTGCTTGGCTGCTGACTGAAAGGTCGGTGGTTTGAAACCACAGCCACTCTGGGAGAGAAAAATTTGGCAGTCTTGGAAAGATTACAGCCTTGGAAACCCTACAGGGCATTTCTACTCTGTCCTATAGGTCACTATTAGTCAAAATCAGTTTGATGGCAATGAGTTTTTATGATATGACTAGTTTTTTTTTTTTTTTTTAGGAAACTAACACTTGAAAGTTATTTTTTAATTGCATAGTTAGTTGTTTCCTAGTTTATGTGTTCGTTTTGCTTTGTTTTACTCTTTAAACACCCATAAAATTAAGTTGTTTAATCCTATCTGCACTTTACAGATAGGTAAATTGAAACTCAGAAGAACTAAATAATTCTGGTAAACGGTGCATTTAGGATGAAAATCCATTTTTATCTGACTTCACCACTTGTGCTTCTTATATTTTATGATACTCATATACATTGATACACATACATTGACATCAAAATTTCCCCAAAAGACACCTTAGAAATGTCAACATACTCAAAATGCAGGTATTATATAAATCATGAAAACTCCAAAAATTGGTATATGATTTTATTAAAAGGTAAAATTATAATTACTCAAAATATAGCGTGTCAAACAATGTCTGGCATGAGAAATTTCACAGACACTTTCTCGAGTGAAACATCCATAACTGGTAACATTTATTTTTTAAATGACTATTTAAGTCTCAGGAAGGGTATAAGCAAATGAAGAAATACTAATTCAAGAAACTCTACTAAGTCTTAGAAGAATGAGGGTCTATGGCATTAGAGCCACCATGTGCTACTTCCCTACTCTCACCTCCCCATTTAGCTCAGTGTGATGGAAGCTCCAGTCTAGGGAGGAGTGATCAATAAGATGGGGCTCCATCTACCAATAGCTCCAGTATAGTAATTCCTGAGAGGGGTAGGCTGCCAGAATTTCTCATCCTCTTCAGCTCCATGTTACAGAAATTCTAAACTAGGCAAGGACAAGGAAAAGGTCTGGGGCATTCTTCTGTCCCCAATCCTGACTTGTAGGATGGAAAGTTCTACCCATAGCAAAATAAATAAATAAATAACCAAAAACCAAACCCATTGCCCATCAGTCAACTCCTACTCATAGCAACCCTATACGACAGAGTAGAACTGCCCCAAAGGGTTTCCAAGGAGTAGCTAGTGGATTCAAACTGCCCACCTTTTGGTTAGCATCTATAGCTCTTAACCACTGAGCCTTGCTCCTACCCATAGCAAGGCTGACCAAAAACACCAGGGCCTCAATTGCCCTCTCTCCAAATCATTCATAGGGCAGAAATTCCATGCCAGGGGAGGCAAGTCAAGAAGACCAGAAGCTGCTGCCTCTACCCAGCACACTACTCATAAAGTAGAGATGTTACTCTGAGATAAATGGGTTATTGTCCTTGCTCCCAACATTGGAGCAGTGGTACAGAGATTCTCCCCAGGGAAGAAGCAAACCATGACTACAGAGAGTACTGAATTTGTCTCCAAGTGAATCGGCTTTATTTGAAACAGGAAGTTCAAGTCTAAGGTCACTCTTGAAAATCATGGGGATTTGAGGGGTAGGCAATTAAGAGGAGACTGGTATCTCCATGAGCATTAAAACCTAAATCATAGACCAGCTAGCTATAAGTCTACCAGAGAGAACCAGGGAAACAGACAACTAAGAAATGCCTTTCTAAGCTAGTGAGCAGCCATCTAAGATGCATCAATTTGTCCCAACTCACCTGGAGTAAAGGAGAATGAAGAACACCAAAGTCACAAGGAAAATATTAGCCCAAGAGACAAAAACACCACATAAACCAGAGACTCCATCAGCCTGAGACCAGAAGAACTGGATGGTGGCCAGCTACCACTGATGACCGCCTTGACAGGGAACACAACAGAGAGTCCCTGATGGAACAGGGGAAGGTTGGGGTCCAGAACTCAAATTCTAGTGAAAACACCAGACTTAATGGTCTGACTGAGACTGGAGCAACCCCACAAAGCATAGCACCCAGACTCTCTGTCAATCCAGAACTAAAACAATTCCCGAGGCCAACTCTTCAGACAAAGATTGGACTGGACTGTGGAACATAAAATGATACTCATGAAGAGTTTGCTTCTTAGCTCAAGTAGAGACATGAGACTAAATGGGCAGCTCCTGTCCAGAGGAGAGAGGAGAAGGCAGAAAGGGTCAGGAGCTGGTTGAATGGACACAGGAAATCAGGGGTGGAAAGGAGGAGTGTGCTGTCACAGTATAGGGAGAGTAATTAGGGTCACCTAACAAAGTATGTATAAATTTTTGTATGAGAGAATAACTTGAATTGTAAACTTTCACTTAAACTACAACATGTTAAAAAAATACAGAAATGCCTTTCTAGAATCGGAACAAACCTCAAAGACTGGCCTCAAAGACTCGCCTGCAATAGGAACCCAGTTTAATTAGTTAAGACTGCGAAGCAATTAATACCCCAGGGCAATGGCAAAAACAAGAGATCAATCAGCACGAAATTAATGAGCTGAGTATGATACCTACAGAGACAGACGGCTTAACACAGAGATCAGGGAAAGAGACCATCAAAAAGGGGCCTGCTAAAACCACTGTCATCCCAAGGTGACTGCCCATGACCAAGACAGTACCCTATAAGGAGCTACAACAGAGCCTGCTCACTCAAAAGAAAATAGAAATTATGATAAAATTCCATCCAAATCACTAAATACACTAACAACAAGCCTTATTGGTGGATGAGAGGTTCCCATATTTAGAGTTGCTAATATACTATCTAAAATGTCTAGCTGTAAAAAAAAAAAATTATGAGACAAGCAAAGAAGCAAGAAGACTTGATCCATACAAAGGAAGAAAAATAAATCAGTAAAACAAGCAAGAGAAACTGCCTTTGAAAGGGCCCAGAAATTTGACTTCAAAGCGGTTACTATTAACGTGTTCAAAGAACTAAAAGAAAAACAGCTTAAAGAATTAAAGGAAATGGGGTGACAATGTCTTATCAAACAGAAAATATCAATAAAGAGAAATAATTTTAAAAAGAACCAACTGGAAATTCTGAAATTTAAAAGTACAATAACTAATAAGAAAAATTTGCAGAAAGAAATAGAAAATCTGAATCGACACATAACAGTCAAAGAGGTTGAAAAGCCAAAGAAGCTGATGGCTTTACTAGTGAATTCTACCAAATACTTCAAGAAAAAATACTCATCAGAAGAATTCTTCTATTGATTATGAGATAAATAAGAATATATTTTACTTTCTTGCAAAGTCCTTTCCAATTTTGGTATCAAACTTATACTGACCTTATAAACAAGTTAATAATTGTTCTTTTTTCTTTTCCCTGAATGAGTTTATGGAAAATTGCATATTTTTTCTTCTTTAAGTGTTTGGAAGAATTTACTAGTGAAATCATCTGAGACTTAATTCTCTGTGAGAATATTACTAATTATACATTCAATGACTTGAACAGATACTGGAATACTCATATTTTCCATTTATTTATGTCTGAGTTTTGCTCAGTTGTGCTTTTCAATGATTATTTATGTAAATAGTCAAATTTTTTGGCCTGATGTTTTTCATGATATACCCTTATTATGTCTTAATAATACTTATTGTGTCTGTAGTGATGTCTCCTTTTATGATTAGGAAAATTTCCATTATTTCTCTTTCATTTTTGCGACTACACCTGCAGAAAGTCTATTGATTTAAACTCTTT